AAGGAAGGGATGGACAGAACAGACAGAAAGAAGTAATGGGAAAAAAAGACTTTTCCATTTTTCTAGTCAATACAAACAGTACACGCTATAACCACAGCCAGGATTAAGATCCTGCTGCCATAGGTCTGTACTGTGCTGGATTCCTAAATAGCCTCCTTGAAGAAGTAAACATATCTCAATCTTAAGAATGTCTGGCATCTCCCTGCTTTGTCACGTTGTAGATTCTTGCATATGAACAAACTTCAGATATTTTTTAGAGGCTATTTGGGTGGCAAGTCACTGAAAGTATTTTCAGTTCTTTAAGATGCATCAAACAAAAAGGAACTGAATTTCACAGAAGAAAAGACAGTGAGCCAGCAGTTTTCAAACTTTGTAGTCTTACACATACATGCATACATTTGCCCACACAAACACTAGATGACATTCCCAATTATGAAGAAAATTCCATTTGCTTGCAATACTATTTAGTAGAAGACACAAAGGTGCAAAGCAGTATGGAATCTTCTTCCCTTTCTTTCCCCAGCAGATCAAGAAGCTGAGACTGGCATGAAGGTTTACACACCTCTTGATTGCTGTTCTCCATCTTTTTTTCCTACTCATTATCACAGAATCACAGAACATCCCAGTTTGGAAGGGACTTTTAAAGAACAACTGGCCCAATCCTTCATGGGAAAGGAAGCCTGGATGAGATTGTTGAGCATCCTGTCCAACCGTAACTTGAAAACCTCCAGCGATGGGGATGCTACCACAGCCCTGGGGAGGTTGTTCCAGTGAGGGATTGCTCTCACTGCAAAAACATTTCTTTTTTATATTGAGATGAAACCTCTCCCTATCACCTACATTCAGCTGCACAGTGCTGCCTACACTCCTGGTCCAAATGCCTCACGTGTGGCTGAGTCAGAAAAAACACGGGAATAATCTCTGCTCAAATGGTACAAACTGAGGGAATGTCTTCAGATGCTCTTGCACTCCCACTGGTTTCCTCTCACAGAACCTCTAGTGGTAGGAATAAACCCCAGCTTTCTGGGATAGAGGCTGGAAGTCTCTTTTCTCCTTCTCTAATTAATATTTCTTCAGTTCTGTATAAGCATCAGGGTTTAGTAGGCAAGGAAATGTAAAAAAAAAATAAAATATAAGATTGGTCCAAGATACAATGGATGACCTTCCCCCCTGAGATATTAAAATATTGAAAAATAAATTAGTACTATTATACACCAGCCACTTCACAACTGTAAAAGTTATTTCACACTGTAAGTATTATTTTCCTTGTACACCTAGTAAATTGAATCTCAAAGAGAAATTCCACAATAAGGTTGCCTTAAAAACAGAGAGATAATATATATAATTTTTCATGCACTGTTGCTAGTTTTTACATCATAAATGCACAAGATCAAAACACAAAAATTATATTTAATTCTTGTCTACCAAACCTCGTAAGCAACCTCCTTTCTTTTCACCAAAGCTTCCACTCACTGCAGAAAGGCTTTGAAGAGACAAACTGTACATTTTGTTTGCCTCTAAACTTGCAAGTTTTCCCTGTGCTCTTTTGATGAAATGCTATTATACCTTTAACCTTAGGGCATCATATCTCATCCTCCTGTTGTGTGGCCTGCAGGACAGGAGTAAGCAAGGAAAGCTTACTAACATCAAACCCTGGGAGCACGGACAAGCGAAGGAACATGACAAACAGTTCTTCCAACATCCAAAAATCAAATTCTCATCTCTTCCCCTTGGAGCTCTTGTTTGCACTTTTGCCTTAGGAATTGTGACTTGATACTCGTTACGAAACCATTTCTAGTTTACCTGTCTCTCTTTCTCAGTTCTGTTACAGTGAACACCAGCATTGCATTAGTCCTACTGTAGTTATTAGAGTTGATATAAAGAAACCAAAACTTGATAAGCCGAGGAAGTGATCCTTTTTTCTTACAGACAACACAGATATTTGCTTTCACTTGTCAGCTGAAAATGCTGGTTTCAGTCAAAGATTCATCAGTTTGGATATGGCTGGGTACACAGTTGCTAAATACTGATCTAAGATTTCTTTCAAATGTTTCTTCCAAAACCAGTAACACCAAATTTTATGTTCTGTGCGGGAGAAGGATCAAGAGAAGAAAAGGAACCTGGACCTATTTAATTCTGTACATCTTCTTCAATACCAGAGTTATTACAATACCACAGACCTTCAACAGAGAGAGAGAGAGGTGTGAGAATATGTAAAAAGGGGACCTTTCCTGAAGAGTCATTTTAACCTAAGGCCATTTGTCTCCCCCAGTCTTGGTTGGTTGGCTTGTGGGGTATTTTTGTTTGTTTGTTTTTGAATCAACTTAAGCTCTTGTCCTAAAATCAGGAACTTAATTTAGGCTCTCTGAATTGCATTCTGGAGGAACCTCTCTCTTCTCAGACGACAACAGGGAAGCCCAGGGAGACAAACTTCATTAGGCTAAAATGAACCTTTTTTATATAACCCCCTTTCCTGAAGTGACTTACTTCAGATTACCTTCCAAAGAAATTGCCTGGGGCAGGGGAAGGAACAGTGAGCTAAGGAGAGACAGCTTCTATCCTTCTCTTAATTCTTAATTATATTGGCCAAGAAATCAAATTCTTAAGAATTAAAATCTCAATTCTCTTTATTAGTCCAAATCCCAGGCTGCAGACATTAGGAAACCATCTTCCCAGTAGTTTTGTTTTGCCTCACAGATTGAAAGAATTAAGAAAGGTAGAACTTAGAACTAGAGTTACTAGATTTTCTGAAAACATTTAGTGTATGTTCCACTAATCTTTTTTCTTGCATCTTTCCTTTATTTCTTCTCTATAATACCTAACAACTGACTACAAAAAAGTAACAATTGACAAGCTAGCTTGACAAACAAGATATATAATGTCTTAATCTATGCAAAAACTAATTCCAATCTATCTAAAGATAAATTAATACCAATGGTACTGTTTGATCTGTGCAAATAAGGTGATGTCAAATTGTGCTGAACACGTTTCTAAGGCATGTAAAGATTTTTTTCCAACACAAACTTTTTTGTTGTTGTTAATGTTTCTTAGTTAGAACAATGTTTATTTGATTTTCCATGGAGCTTAAAGACAACCTAGAAATTCATTTTCTAAGTGTTCCCTCCAAGTGTTATGGTTTTAACCTTCTTGGAGAAAAAAAAAGTATATTTTTACAGAACAAAGAGGATAAAGTTACTAACTGAACATGGTATTTTTTTCTGTTTTTGTTAAAGGAAATATTTAAATTTAAACTCGGAGCCAGCTATGAAGTTTTGTTTCTGAAATTTTCATTATCCAGTTATTTCAGAAATTATTTTCTGAAGAAACAAGGGAATCTAGAAGATAAACATGGTATCTACAATATTTTCCATAACAATTTACTTGCCAACCTGAGTGAATGGCATTACACTTTTCTATCACATCCACGAAAGAAAAGAGCACTTCAATTCTAAATGGATACTGAGTGTGATTTTGAGCTAAGTTGAAGCAAAAAGCAAATTTCAATCACACAGCTTGTTTTAATTGCAACCAGTACCTTAACTGAACATACTGCAGAGCTTCATGAATATTCAGCAACAGAGTAACCAAATACACAACATTAGTGCTTTTGGTATTAAAAAAAAGTTTCATTTTCTTCCTCAGTTTTTGAAGCAGAGTGGAGTAATGGAATATTATTCAGTTTACTTATCAGGTTCATACTCTCTTCATACTCCCCCTTGTATTTCTTCAACTACACCAAGCCATAAATCAGGCATTAGTAAGTCATGTAACTTTTCTAATCAATTTACTCTGCAGAAACAGGCAGAAGTTATTTGGTCAATTGAGTTTCACAAAGCTCCCCAGCTGTAATCCTTACTATTGTGGGTTAATATTCCTGAGGAAGGTCTGAATATTGAAAACATGCTGAATATGCTTTACATTGGTGCATTCCTCAATCTTTATAACTGACCAGAACACTGAAATTTCACCCATTGAAATCATTATTTCATAGCAGAAATGCAGTAGAAAATTATGTGTTTAAGAAAGTGAGGGATAAAACAGTTCACTTCTGAACTATTCAAGAGATGTGGATCTTCCCTGTATATTTTTACTGTATAATGACACAGCTTTCACTGTATCCTACAAATATTTTTTTGAAAGATGATTTCCCCCCCCCCCCCCCCATTTTGTTTGCTTTTCAAAAGACCTATTTAAGAATCTCAGAACATTCAAAACACTATCAACATAATTCTTCAGCTTTTTCAAATAAACACTTGCTAACAGGGCAGAGATTTACCACTGTGAAGAAGAAATGATCATTCCCCAAGCCACTGGGGTGAAATTGGCCCCTGGCTCTTCCTTCCTCACACCTGAACTGTTTGTCACATGTTGGTGTTGTGTCCTTCTGCTTCAGCCTGGGTTCAAATTATTACATTCACTGGAGTAAAACTCACTTTGTTATCTAATAGCAGCTGTCTCATCTTGTGCACTTCTGAACTAAATCGCACTTCTGTCACATACCCAAACCACATTTCACTTTCAGCCCCCAAGAATGCACAGTTACAGACTGAGTTTTATGACATAACTTCCCTCCCTGAACATCCATCCAGGTGGAGCATTCAATTCAGAGGAATTATGTTTGAGAGTTATGGACAAAAATATAGCTTTTGGATATCACTTAGACAATCCAGCAATGATTTTTATCTTCTAGAAATACTTTATTTGTGTTCCATATATTCTCATCTGTAACTTTTATACTAATTTTTAAGGAACAATTTAATTAAGATTCATTTATGAAGCAACACTTAATTTAAAAACTAGCAAAGGGCCAACATATAAGTTGATCAACAAAAAAAATTACTGAAATGTGTTAAAAATTGTCAGAATAACAAGTGACCTATGCAAGTCTCGTATGTACAAGACTCCTATTAACTGCATTGGATGAGACACAAATGAGAATTCAGCCCAACTGTTTCAAATAACAGAAGTAAAATTTAAAATGCAACCAGAAAGCTTCTTACCTATCAGAGGAATTTAAGGTCAGGAACTCTCAAGGTCAGCATAGTGCCCTGCAGCACAGGTGAGGAAAGGATAATGAATATTCAGCAGTCTGATGGCTGGAATGCTTTAGGCAGGAGCTTCCTGTTTTTAAGTACAAGAAACAAATTTAATGTTATCTAGACAGAAAAGGTTTTTTTGTTTGTTTGTTTGTTCAAGCAAAACAAACAACTCCTCCCAAACAGATGATCAAGCAAAGAAAGAAAACAGGATGTTACCACAGGTTAATTTCTTTCAAATAATCAGAGAGCAACCGATCAGTGACTAACCAAAATAAAGTATGCAGTCAGTTTGCTTAGGAGCAAATGAGATATCATCCTGCCATTTTTTACTGAGCCTCAGCTGCCTCCTTCAAATGACCAGAAAGCAGACAAGGGCCAGTGTCTCTGGGCATTACTTTATTCTCCCTGGCTTAGATTCAAAACATCTGTTGCATAAGGAAAGTCTAATTGGAATGGCTGCCCCTACCCGGATGGCTGACATTTACTTGCCATGGGAAGAACCTGTCCACTAACAACGTTCCCATGAACCTGACTGACATGCCTGAAGAGCTGGCTGAGCAGGGTCTATAGACTGTTCCCAAAGATTGCAGCAACCTCAGAACTTTTCCTTTGAGGCATTGCAGCCTCAATGGAAAAATCTGCAAAACAGAGGAGGGCTTGTGTTACAATCTAACAGTGCTCTGCACTGCTTTGGAGAGAAGACAAACATATGGGCTGCCACCAACTATTAGAAGTTGGTGTGAAATCACATGAGAATTATCAGTCTGTAGCTTTCACGATCTGTTTCACAGGCATTTACAAAAATTTTAAAAAATAAAGATATCAGTGCAAAAAAAAGACGGTTTTGTAACCTCTATCTCCCTATCATTAAGAAACGAGTTGTTTCTAAGCAGCTGAGCTATCAAAACCTGTTCTTCAGGTATCGTATTTTAACGATTTTGTATCTTATCTCACTCATAACAAGCTCACTTGTCTCCTCTCTCCTGCCAATCTGGAGGGCCAAGGGACAGCATTTGCTGTGCCTGGTTTTAAGCTTCACACGTGCCCGCTTGCCAGCTGGCAGAGCAAACAGGATCCATGGTGATTTCAGCTCACAGTGGAGCCTTTCCCCTCAGCAGCCCTAAGCTGGGTCTCTCCTCTTACCACACCACTGATTTTCACTTGTAGGAACGTAATACTTCTGCAGTCCTCTCTTGACAAATTCAACAAGTTGGACAAGTTCAAAGGGTACTCGGAGGGAATGAAGGGAGGGCAGGGAAGGAGGGGGAAGGATAGCTGGCTGACCACCAGAATAACAGCACAGTTTCTATTCCAAGGAAAACAATACCAAAAATAGATTTTGGAAAGAATAAATGCATAGCTAACACTCGAAGAGGCCTAGTGGACAATATATAATGTGAAGTGTCTCTAACCAACAGCCATATGATACTTCTTTCCTTGGAAAAAGCTTACATAGCCTTGTTGTTTGTTCAACTCTCCCTCTTTCTCCCTGCTCTGCAATAAGCTGGTGAGCAGTTCCAACCAAAGCTGCTGCAGGGACTGGCAGTATCAAGCAGTTTGCATTTCCATGGCAGAAGCAAGTTCAGATGTACAGTGTCCAAAATAGAGACTACACAGAATAGCTTTTAAATACAAAACAAACTGATGTCATCAGTTGTAGTGAGGGTTGTATAGACACAGATCTAAGGAAAATCAGGTTTCTGTGTTTGAAGTATTTGGCAGTTTCACAAAAAATAAAAGCTACAGTTTCCAAGTTTCACACATCTCTTCCTCTGCTGTCTTCTCCCTCTCCCCAACTGGGTAATTCATATAACCACATATTCTCAACAGTAAAAGCTACCATATTGTAAATGAAGCACAGATTTTAAAGGCACATTATAATTTGCCACAGAAACATCTCCCAATCTTGACATAAAAAGATAACTTTGTGAATTTTAAGAACAGTTTAATAAACAGGTATCAGTAAATATTTATGGATCCAATGTTCAGACTCTCCTAGTAAATCTGTTAAAAAAACCCTCAACAACCAACAAACCAAACCCACAATCAGTGCTGTTGACATTTTTGTTTAAGAATAAACCCTTTTGAAAGGTGATTGTCCAGTCCTCCGTGCAGAACAGCTGAGAAGGAAAGTAAACCAAGAATCCCCATAGAGGTTGAGAAAGACACGTCCTTCCACACTCCTGGAAGTTTGTGCAACTGTAAAGCTACTAAATGTCCCATTTCTTAATGGTTAAAACCAAAATTGAAACACTGCAATTAAATCCCAAAGATGCTCAGAATTCATTAGAGAAAAATACTGTAATGAGATTGCTAATACAAGCTAGTAGAAATGAGATGGGTGCAACTATCCACATAACATTGTAACTCTTATTTTGAGAAAACCTACAATCCTAGTACATGGTAGTAGTTTATTCAGACTTTTTATAAAAATAAAACAGGCCAAATGTACTTAGAAGTACTGGAGAATTTAAGTGTACCCTCAACCTATACTAAAGTGTGTCTAAGAATCACTTTATCTATATGTTTACTAGCATAAACACCCTTGAACAAGTATATTAATCAATAGATAACAAATGAAACAAACACTAAAAATATATATTTCTACCACTGCTACATTCTTGCTATCAGACCTCTCAACTGGACTTCAAAGCATGTGTTAAGGAAAACACTTTAAATAATTATGAGACTGTTGTGGATCACCATAATCAAACTGACCAACACACTTTTCTGCAGTTCAAGCCAATTTCAAGGATTCTTCAAGCAAATTGGAATAAAGAGAACCAAACAGCTCTATTGCTTTCAAACAAGATTCCAATTTTTCCAAGTCTTTCCCCCAACATTACTCAGTAGAAGAGAGAACAAGGCATAGAAATGTCTGAAGAAACCATTCAGTTCCATAACTGAACTTGCAGCTGCCAGAATCACATGCCTTCCTCTATTGAAAATGCTTTGCGAAGGAAGTTGAATTTCCTGCTCTCTTCAAGAAGCAACTGAATGTTCAAGGCTTTGAGCCCTAGAGAGATGCTAAGGATTCCATTAGCTACTATATAATTTCTTTTCTTTTTGATAGCAGGGTTCCCATAACTGCCTCAGGAACAAGGGCTTTCCACACTGACTATTGTAAGGTTACGGGGAGGTGCACTCTGTATTCTGATTTTCATAGGATATCATGGGACTGAAGGAATTTAGAGAAAGGTCAACATTTTCAGCAGCTTGTCTTGCAAAGAAATGGGAACTTGGTCAAAATATTGAACTCTGTCACACAAGTCATGAAGAAGCAACTGAATTAAGCAGGGATCCAACTGTCCTGTTTGACACAGTTACTTTGGGATTTATACAATTAGGCCACATTTTGCTCACATGTGACAGCACACAGCACCTGGAACTATGGGGCAACTCTGCCCTCTAATACACTGAGCATCTCTGTCACATTCCCACTCCCACAATCTCCCTGTCCAGGAAAGGGCTGGTAATGCACTGTGGCAATTCGTACATAATTTTTGATATTTTTTATTGCTATAGCAACTGAGTGTAGGCATTTAAACATAGCAACAGCCTTTTTATAGCACTTTCTTGGATGTCAAAATGGCATGTTGTTTTATTTTCCAAGCAGATGCTCAGAAGATAAGTACACAGGATGATTGTACAATACCCACCTTCAAAAGAAAGAACTTCACAATTTCTGAATCATATAAGCAGATAAGTGAGAGGCATACTGTGAGTTTCAAGGATTTTGTTGTGAGTTTAAAGGACTTAGTTCTGAGAAAGCATATTACTAACTAATACCTGAGGACAAGATTAGGTGAAAAACTTGGTGGATCTGTGCCCATTTCGTAAAAAGCTGTATGACAAATTAAGCAGGTCCTGCTCTGAAGTAGAAAATGCTCCATCAACTCTGATCTTTACCTGTTAAGCAAAAGAAAAAAGGGAAATTGTTTTCCTATTAAGTGGAGCCAGATTCTCAGGAGGGATCAAAATCCATTGAAACAGATCCTTAGTTCATGCACGTGGGCAAAGCTCCACACCAAACACAGCAACAGCGATTTACAAGTGAGAGTTTGGCCTACTGTATGGTTTAAGGAAATACAATTCAGCATTTTCATGCTAAGACTCACAGAATCAGAGAATTCTTAGGGTTGGAAGGGACCTCTGGAACTTATCAACCCCCTGCCAAGGCAGGATCACCTGAGGCAGGTGACACAGGAACATGACCACGTGGGTTTTGAATGTCTCCAGAGAGGGAGACTCTCCCTGGGCAGCCTGTTCCAGTGCTCTGCCACCCTCAGTGGAAAGGAGCTCTCCCTCATGTTGAGGTGAAACTTCCTGTGTTTTAGTTTACAGCCATTTTTCCTTGTGCTGTCACTGGGCATCACTGAAAGGAGTCTGGCACCATCCTCCTGGCACCCCTTTGAGATATTTATATGCATTAAGGAGATCCCCTCTCAGTCTTCTCTTCTCCAGACTAAACAGGCCCAGCTCCCGCAGTCTCTCCTCATAGGAGAGATGCTCCAGACTCCTCATCATCTTTGTGGCCTCCCCTGGACCCTCTCCAGAAGCTCCTTGTCTTCCTTGTACTGAGGAGCCCAGAACTGGACATAGCATTCCAGATGTGGCCAAGTAGAGGGGGAGTATCACCTCCTTTGACCTGCTGGCCACACTCTTGCCAATTAACCCCAGGCTGCTTTTCTCTTATATGATATTTTTTCTCTGGGGCCTTTAAAATCTGTATCATTTCTACAAACAATCAGTAAAAAAAACACTACTTGGTATTTAATAAAATTCCTGAGCACATTATTAGACAGGAAAATGCCAAACAGCAACAGAACAGATCTCCTGGGGGATCTTTAGGTATTATTCACCGTTCTGTTACAATTATATGTCAGCTTTGTATAAAGTGAGATGATTGATATCTGCCATTTTACCAAGAAAAACATTCAAAATCTGTTAAACAGGAAATGTCAAAGACTTTTTTAAAAATGAATCTAACAGAAAATGTCAAAAGTTTCTCACATGAGTACAAAGTTTTTAATATTCCAGTGACTCTATTCCATTAGCACACAATATACAAACTTTGGAAGGGACATTTTAATGCTGTGCTTTATGCAGGAGAGATTTCAAACATCCCAAAAGCTCAACATGCAGATAAAAACTGAGTTTTACATATCGAGGTTTTAGAATATATCCCACAGATTGTTTCTCCATGCCCCTTACAGATATTTTCACTCAATTCATTGAGTAAACAGAGAGCAGTTTTCAAGTCTTCCTGATCTTGTTTCTAGTGCCTAAGATACTTGGGAATTCTGACACATCTGCGTGGTTTCCTACAGCCTGCTCCACCAACTACTGCACTTACTCAAAACAGCTTTTAGAGCAATGCTGATAATTATATCTATCAAAGAATAGGAATGATAAGTTTGTTAACTGCAAGAGCCCTCAGGGAGGTCAAGATGATGGGCAGCATTATACTTGCACAGTATGTAGGTTTGCTTCCAAGAGTTTTCCAGTCTGAGGTGATGTGCAGAATATTGGCTTGACTTAGCACCTCCTCCTGGGACAAATTCCACCCTCCACTGCAACTAGGCCCTTAATTATTTCGTGTTATTATCATGAGCCCAAAGGTCAGTCCCTTTCATTCACTATTTAAAAAGAAAAATACAGGTAATTCAGTGGCTGAAATTGTGAAGCATGTGTGCATTTTTATACATTGTTAAATTACTTCCCTCCCTCTCCACCAGCTCTCCTTCAGCTTATGGCTAGACATTTTATTTTATTTTTCTGTTCGGCAGTTACAGCACAGTTCAGCACAGCTTTGGAAGTTTTAACAGGAAATGGCTAATTAACTTACCACACTTCATTATATTCTACTATGTGTATATGTGCACCTCCTTCTAAAAAGGCCTGTTCAGAGACATTTCAGAGAAACCAGGGGAACATTTGAAAATGAAATAGTGGATTTTTCTTTTCCAAAATCTCAGAAAAATATCTAATTCTACAGATCCCGTAATTTGTTAGGGCATGCCTATAAGTCCAAAATAAAATGGGTGAAAATAGACCCACTTCCCCTACTCAGATTCTCCTATATTGCAGAATCTTTCCTGCTAACAAATGTAGTTTTACCTTTGAGGTATTCACTGAGAGCCTGCTCTGTCACCACTGAAATCAATGGAAACTTTGCTGATGATTTCAAAAGCAGAGGCTCAGAGCCAAATTCCCCATGTATAATTTCAGCACTACAAAACATTCTGCAGAATTCTATAAACAGCAATAATGTTACTCAGAAGGCAAACACCTACCCCAAAGCAATGGGTGTACTTGACCCAGCAGCACAGATTTCCTATCGTGTATCCATTTCCAGGGTGCAAAACATTACAATGGGTAAGAAAAGAGTGTGTAACTCCCACGTAAACTGGGAGTTTGTGATATCAACTTTTCAACCCCTTTTCTCTTTGCAGAGGTTGCAGTACCTAGCCCAGTGGACTCTATTTCATAGCCATTAGACAGCAGCTCTGTTTGGACAATCACCAAGTGTATTTACAGGTAAATTAGAGGATAACACCGATTCTAAAGTATAAATCTGTATCATGACAAAACACAACAGAATATGCTTTAGCACTAGTTGGGGAAAGAAACTTTCAGGTTTGCATGGACACTTGCCATACATTAGCTGGCAGGTTTGCATGTTTCCTTCCCTGCTCCCCTCATCCTCCCCGCTCCCAGAAATCTGGGTTAGCGTTAAAAAAGACCGTGTTCTACAGGCTTTACTTTTCCAAACCCACAGATGATCTTATCTGCAGCACTACGGGTCCCCAGAGACTTGTGATCCCTAAAGACTTTGTGTTTCGTGCATTTTAAGGGCAGGTAAAAGCTATTAGTTAGGGCTTGTGGTGGTCATTGTTGTTGTTTAAATCTTTCAGATATTTAATACATTTGGCAATTCCTAAGTAAAATGGAATTTCTCAAATTATTTTTCAGATTGTGAAATTAATGATAGGCACATTTAAATAAATTAAAGTTCAGAAATAAAGAGAAAAAAATTATTACACCTATTTACATCAGAGAATTAAATCCAGGGACGCTTTTTGAGGCCAAGCTCTCCAACAAAACCCAAGGCTACAAGTCCTCTTGCTCAAATATCAAATCCCTTTCTCCTTTTCAGAATTCTTAGGAAATACTTTCCAGGGAGGGAAACTGATTATTTGAGAGCACTACCCTAAGTCACAGTCTTGGTTCTCCACAGCATACCATTACACATGTACATAAGCAGTAATTCATGCCTTGAGTCACTGGTTTACAAGCTTACACAGATCCATCACCCACTCAGATTTCCTTTCTGTCAGTGATACTGAGATCCAAAACATCTCTTTGACCCACTTTTCAAAGGAAGCACAAGCAGAGAACACATCACAAGGAAAATCTGCTTAGTTTACAGGAAGGCTGCAAGTTAGGACAGAAAAGAGATCTCTCTCTGCCCACAAATCCCCCAGATCTTTAAATAACCCACAAACCTTGAAACAGTAAGCATTTTCTTTCCCCTTCCACTCATAAGCCATTTGATGCTTCTTTTTCCTGGACTTACACACTTCTCTAAGGAGAGCAAATAGACAAGAGAACTCCAGAACATATACATATGACCCCTGAAAGAAGAAGCTTTCACATCAATCTCTTCTCAGTACCAACTCCCTTCACCTCAGTTGCCATACTTTGTCTTATCCAGTTTTTCCAAAAGTTATTTGACACCATGCTATCCTCAAAAGCTGTCAGGAAGCAGATTGATCCAAAGGAGGATGGAAAAGGCTGGTGCTAAACCCTGGAGCTATGAATCTGGTTGCTAAAAAATTCCCAAATTCCACTGTTTTGGTCCCAGATAAATAGATCTATAGTTATTAAAACCGACTCAGACATGTAAAAAGATAGGAAGCGAGGAGGTGTACAAGTTTTACGTCCACAGATAATTCAGAACTTAATCCAGAAGGATGTAAAGCAGATGGATTTTTATAAGTCAAATACATTGATAATCCCAGGTACTTATCACAGTACTGATGTTAACACACAATTTTCACTATCTACAAATAAGTAACTTGTAGTTTTTGCATTAAATTACAGTTACTGTCATCATAATATCTTCACTGAAGGTGAAGATATTTGCATATAGAAAATAGAAATTTGCATATAGGCACTACACCATACATTAAAGTTACAAAATAAAAAAGAATTGTATGGAATAAGAACAATAGTTGCTGAAATGCCACAGGATATCACATATTAGAAACATATAAGTTCAGACTTGGAGGAGTTAGACACAGATAAAACTTGAGCACCTTCTAAAATACCATCTAAAGTTATACATCCTTGCTCAAGTTGAAGGGGTGCATAAAACATCACAAGTAAAGTAACACATGCAAGACCAGCAAATCAGAACAAGGGCCTTTGGAGGGTATTAAATACAAGAATAAATATACTGGAGTGATTTTTAATTTCTACTGTTAGTTCCAATAAACTTAGATTTCTATGAGTTGTATCATTAGATTATCAAGCTCTAAGTTTGGTATAATTGCTGATATGGGATATAATTGTTGATTTAAAACACGAGGGTCAGATAGAATATTAACCTAAAAGTACTGAGCTGTGAGAAAAATAAAAGGAAAACTATTACAAGTTTTGCAACAGAATCTGAAATGCTTTAATGAGTAAGATGCCTCTTTCACATTCTCTTGAAGCTGGATGAGGTAAACTTTCTTTAAAGCATGCACAGCATTTACCAAATCAAATACAAATGCAGTAACTGTCAGCACTCACAGAACACTATCTATGCTCAGAAGTCTAAATTCACCCAATCTTTAGCATAAACTTAGCATAAACTAAAAACTAATGTCTAATCATTCTGCACAGATAGAGATTCTTTACTGCTTACAGAGAATTGTTCACCAGGTGAAGCCATGCTACACAGACATGAAAAATCAACTCCCTTACACAAACTGTCACTAATATGAGTTAGTAATAGAAACTGTCTTCCATTTCAGCTATCATTTCCTTGCACTGACCTCATTCTTTCATGTGGTTTACACACTGCTGTCTGGAGGAAAAAAAGACCTTAACATACATATTAGTAAGACAAAAATGTGTTTTAATTTGCTGAGAAAATAAGATGCACTTCATTGCAGGGCACCTAGCAAATAGCACAGATAAAACTGGAGACTGAAAGTAAATAACAAGATTTTCTATACTAAAGCAAACATACTTTAACATATGAGGGTGGGTTTGGTTTTTTTCTGTACAGCATTCCAATTAGTCACAACTTCATGGTCTTAATCTACATCTATCAGGATTAAAACCAAACACACACTGTATAGAGGAATGGCTCTGGAAATGGTTTTAATAACAGATAAGTTCCAGATGAGTAGGTAACCCATCAACGTGAACCACTCTGGCACTGTTAGAAGCATATGAGAAGGGAAGTCATACAATTTAAAAAAAAAAAGATAAAAAGAGCCATCTGTGACATATCTTTTTCTTTATAACATGCTCCTCAGTAAGATTCACTATTGGTTAACAATACAGATACAGTATCTGTGAATCAGGTCGCCCTGAATTACTGACTACGTACCTTTATTAATCAAGGCTCAGTGTAATTAACACGGCTTTTTCGCTTTCATTCCTGTACACTCCCAAACAGCACGTACGAAGAGAGAGCTTTCATTAGCTACACCCAGTTTTTAAGCAGCTAAAATCTGAGGTAGAATTTGAAGAGGGTGGGGGAGAAAAGGTGGAAAGAACCAGCCACTCGGTATCACAACAACAAGGTACTGTACCTTTAAGGAGGAAACATGGTTCCGTTCTGTCTCACGGCTGAGAAAGAGCTTATTCTCCGTTATAGAGATGACTTACCTAAAACTTGAGTTATTCCTCTTTTTCCCTGAGGCCAGCCTCTCTTCACTCTGGGGAGCTTTTACCATTTAAGGTCAATGTTACATCTGGCTCTAGTAACTAAAGCCGAAGCAATTTTTAACTCAGAGATCCAACAGGCTGCCTAACATTAGAATGAGAGTTTAAATTTAAAGTAACTCTTCAGAAAGCCTTTCTTGCCTCAGAGAATTACAGAATTAAAGGCTTTCCTATTCTGGCATAAGTACTGTGAGTACAACACGATGCAGACATCCCATTAGCATTCTTCAAGTTCAGTGCATATAAGCTCGACTTACTCATTTCTGATTAAAACAGGCAAGTAGGAAGAACAGATGAAACAGTTTACATCATGTTATGTTAACCCTTAGAATTTTTTACTGACACAGATGCTACTATTTTTCATTCCTCTCCCTCCCTCTTTAGAGAGCAAATACAAGGCATGTGAACTTCTAAAGAACATTGGCTTCAGTCCAGTTTATGGGCTCTGCTCTCCACTTGCAGAGTAGGAATAATTCCTCTTGAAGTCCACAGAAGTTGCTTGCATCCCATGAGAGAATGTAGCTACAAATGGGGCATGAAGAGGGAAAATAAACCCAAAACATTTACCACACTATATGCAGGTACCTGCAGAGGAGTCACGTGCATGTGATTCAAAGCTCTCAGCTCTAAAACAGACACAGATCTTAATCCAGCCCTTTAACCAACTCAGACTATTTATTTCTAAGTATTACAATGCATCCCAACTAAGAGTTCTGCTTATGCCAGGTGCTGTAAAGTTATTAAATATAAGCAAGCCAAACCCTGTCCAAATAACCTTTCGCAACTGAAGTAGAGACAAGAGAGAGGAGGGTGGGAAATGTCAAAAAATTACAGCAGATTTTGTAAAATTGTTGGATAGTAAGTTTGGAGGGGATATCAGAACTATTTTAGGAGAAAGGAGCAAAGAATGATAAACTTCCTTTTGAAAGAAGAGCAGTGAGGCAGAAAGAGATCACACAAAGGAAACTAAGGATTTAGTGATTTGATTTGGAAAGCACACTCCATAGGGGAGTCATGCATGGCAACATGAGGATGCTGGTAGGAGAAGAGGGCAAAGATGAGTTGATGGCAATTTAGCACAGTCCTGTAATTTAAGGAAAAAATTATTCCACACTTAAGGTATTCTTAGTTCCCAAAATCAACATCGCAAAAAAAGGTTCTGAAAAACTTCTCTAACATTTGCATTTAAGCTTGGCCCCAACATAATGGGAGTAGGTTTTCCAAATGTCATTTCAGGTTTTGATGTCCACTGCCCACTGACAGTCCTTTGCACCATTACTGGCTCTCTGACAAGGCATTCTAATATACCTCCTTTCATCTCCTTGAACTACGATTTTATTACCCACAAACTCAAGTTCTGAAATAGACTCCTGTGAGTCAGCACAGTTTCAATCTTCCATCTAGTTGTGTGCAGCTACAGAATTTTTACTAGCATCTGTAATTCATCATTTTTTCGGTTTTATTTTCTCAGAATATCTAGGCCACAAGTGTCAAATGTTTCATTTGTCTACAATAGAAGTTGTGTTTCTGTTAAATCTGCATTCATCCTCATCATAGCAACAACTGCTTTGAAGCCAGTTTGGGCAAGAACAAGTTGTTTACTGCCTTTTAGCACTACTGTCCTCTGGGAAATAAAACTTTTTGCTTAAGTTGGTTGTTCATTGGCCCAGCATCCTATTGGCCAAATTTAGCCAAGAAATGGAGGTCTTGAAATATTTTCAAGTTCCCAAAAACCTGGTGAAGCCAGTAGCTTGTAAAGCAGATGTAAGCTATTGCCCCTGCTATGGGAAAAACCTACAGTGACAGAATTTTGGTTCTGTTTTGCTTGGCTATCCACAAAGAGAACCCCTGCTGTTTCTGTCATATTTAGGGGACACAGAAGGACCATGGAGGTAATCACAAGAAGGGGAAAACAATGCTTCCATCAATCTTCAGCTCCTGAAACTGCTTGTGTATTCTATCCTACAGCACCCTCAATGCTTTGGCAGGTGCTTTGCCCAGAGATTTCTTTAACGTCAAAGACCTCGGGCCAGACAAAAGTGAAACTTGCTAGCTAAAAATCTAAATTTTTGAATGAGGAAATATTGGCATCTAAAATTTAATTATTTTAGCTAGATTGCTAAAATTGTATAAAGAATGCATAGCAACATGTACCATATAAGGAAAAAAATTTCATTTGTTTGCTCTGTTTTTTAAGGTCTGGTGATACCTGCTTCTTTTAAAATATTCTAATGCAGGTGGCTGGCCACACCCCCATAACACAACATATTTATGCTGCCATTATTTCGGTGCTGTATTCCCCAGGAATAACATAAAATCATTCTCTTATAAATATTCTAGAGTATTTCAGAGTAGCTAGATGCAGTTCTCTGGGGTTACATATGGCTTGGTGGTGGGATGTGCCCCTCTCCCACCAGCTGAGTTCCCATTTTCTTGATTTTCATGGCTCTGTGACTTATGAAAGCAGCAGTGCAGGACATATTAATGTCAAATTTTCATGAGTTGGGCTCCCCAGGTTAAAAGATTTTTACTTGTATCTTTAATGAGATAAACACAAGCACTAAAATCCTTGTCTTACTGAAATAACAAAGAGTTCTGCCTCTGGGGCTGAAGTGTAGGTAAGATTTCATACAGTGACTTCACTTTTGGGGCACAACCAATTTTAAGTGCAAGTTTTGTCTGAGCAACAGCAGACAAGTGATCTTGCCACAGTAGTTTTTTTCTAGTTTTGGCTTTAACTGGGCAGACTGGGATACAAAAACTTTTACTCAAATGGCTTTTTTTGGGTAGAAATAGTTGTAGGTGTTTTTGAGAATTCCTATTTTTTGAGATTTATTACTTTTTACAATTATTATTATTTTTGAAGATTTTCTGTTTCAGGACTTTAAAATACATTGCATTAAAATGTTGCCTATTATCCTTTCTGCCCATACATACTCACCATCCATAAGGACGAGTCACGATTACAGGCTCTATTTTTTATTTGGTGACTAAAGTATAAAGATTATTCATCAGGCAGGCGAAATATTTGCAGCAGAAGTGATAATATTTGCACTTAAAACTGGAGTTCTATGGCACAAGCTTTCATATTTCACTTTCAAACCACCCCAAAAGGATTTTTATCAGTTAAGACTTTTGTCCCAGCACATCTAGAATGCACCTCTGTCAATGTCAGGTCCACCTCGAAAATAACAATGAGCACTGGGAATTTTGTTTATGGAATCAACAGAATTAGCCATTCTCATCATCTTACTTCTCAACTGTATCAAAAAACTAGTTAACTGAGTTAAGATTTATGTCCAATTTTCGCTATGTCCCTTCACTGTCTTACAGAGAATTTTGTTGCTAATTTAAATATTTAGTCTTGCATCAGATTTGTGTTCTCTGTGGGTTTTCTGGCTTGTATGTTGCTAACATTATAGTGCACACAAAAGTGAAGCCACCTTTTCTCCCCTGTTGACAATTGTTATGCAAATCTCCTTCATGTATGGAATTCTTATCTGGCAGTTTAATGCAGAGAGGAGAAAAAAACCTCAAAATAACAGCAAGTCTGATCAGTAAATACACGAAAGAAAAAAAATACAAGGCAAAACATGCAATAAGATTTCCCCATCTGGGGCTCACTCTGCTGAATACTAAATCCCAAATGGAATCCAGAATAACTGAACTAAAATGGATGCTGGTTCAACAGGATGATATCAAGTCGATATTCACTCTGCCAGTCAGCTGAGCAGCAGTGCTGGATCATTTATGCAAAATGGAACAAAACTTTATGGCACTTTAATAACATTTAAGCAGCAACTTTTCTACGTTGAGTCTTCTGGAAGGCAGGAGATTTGCTTCCAACTTTCTGCAGCAAAAGAAAAGCACTTCACATGAATCAGAATTGTTAAATTAAAGAGTACTCAATTGCAGAGCCTGCAGAACAAGGCAAGGAGGTGCATGCTGGAGCCCAGCCATCCTAAAGAAAACAGTGTAAATAAAGTTTGCTTTGAGGGCATGCTTTGAGGTGCAGATGATCCTGTAAACTAGTCCATGTTGCACAGAAAGACTTGAGACTTCAGGGAGAAGTACTCCAAGTGCCTGCAAAAACCCTACTCATTAAGCCTTAATGAGCCTTTTTATTTTTAAAGCTAACATTTTTCTCAGTCTAAAAATAGCCAGCTAATAATCTCTATATGAGAAACAGGCAGAGTCCAAGAAACAAAATGCCAACTTGTTTTCTAGCATTCATTCCCAGATCATCAATAAAATGATCCAAACTGACAAACACAGTTTAAATGGCCAAGTCTTTCAGGACAAATCTTACACAAAGCATCTGCAGCAACCATTGCATTTTCATTTCTCATATCCATGTCTTATTTTTTTTTCCTTCTTCCTCCCTTTAAGAAAGTGGTTTTTAAAACAAAGTTCCAATAAACCACCATATTAGGATGTTTATAATAGCTTAAGGGAAAGCAAAACAGGATCAGAAATTTAAACCTTTGTGGGCAAGGAAGTTACCCTGTTTCCATGCCCTTAAAACCTAGCCTGCCAAGAAGCTAAATATATCAAATATTTTTTAGCACACATGGAGTCTTCCAAGGTCATGGATGCATTTCATTTCCTCTAATTAACTGTTTTGTGAGATTCAGCCCTAATTTCTGTTAATAGTAATTGAAACCTTAGCACACATGCAAGCAATGTGTTTCATACATTGTTACATGATTGTCCCGTGTTCTACAGAAAAACTGCTTGAGAAGATGATCCAAATGAAAAAAAAAATGCACTGTTAGTTCTACTATTTTTTGGGGGAGAAAAAAAAAGGAAAAGGTTTTCAGTGAAAGAAAATAATCCAGAAGATTTGACACACTCATGGCACTGGGTGAGTAATTATCCATATCGAACAGGTCCCACCAGAGCTCATTTTGTGTTTTGATTTTGGGGGGGTAAGGGGTTAAAATGTGATCTACAATAGAAGGATCCCAGAAAAAGAGGAGTGATGAAGTTTGAACATAACTTTTCAGGGGATGTTTTCAGAAATCTGAAGAGGTTAAAAATCACTGTAACTAATCTCTATCTTACCTTCTCTGGGAGAAGTTAGACAGAAATGAAGAATTAGGAAAAGAAAATTCCAAAGGATGGCAGGCTTCTCCTTCCACATGGATGTACATTCATACTACAGCAATCTGAAGTACAAGTGGACTGCTGCTGCAAAGTAATCTAGGCCAAGATAGTAAAAGTTATACTTCTCCCTGAATTCAGAATTCATATTGAATTTGGACTTCCTATCCTAGTCCAGCCTAAAAAAATGGATAATTAAAATATTGCAAGAAGATACTTTAATCCAC